GTCATCATTGTGATGATTATGGCTTACAGCTCATGAAAACCCCAAATCCACAATCTCAGAAAATGAGAATATTGTGAAAAGGTGCAATATTCTCGGCTCAAAGTGTCCCACTCTAATCAGCTAATTAAGCCATAACACCTGCAAAGGGTTCCTGAGCCTTTAAATGGTCTCTCAGTCTGGTTCAGTAGGAATCACAATCATGGGAAAGACTGCTGACCTGACAGTTGTGCAGAAAACCATCATTGACACCCTCCATAAGGAGGGAAAGCCTCAAAAGGTAATTGCCAAAGAAGTTGGATGTTCCCAAAGTGCTGTATCAAAGCACATTAATAGAAAGTTATGTGGAAGGGAAAAGTGTGGAAGAAAAAGGTGCACAAGCAGCAGGGATGATCGCAGCCTGGAGAGGATTGTCAGGAAAAGGCCATTCAAAAGTGTTGGGGACTTTCACAAGGAGTGGACTAAGGCTGGAGTCAGTGCATCAAGAGCCACCACACACAGACGGATCCTGGACAGGGGCTTGTTGTATTCCTCTTGTCAAGCCGCTCCTGAACAACAAACAATGTCAGAAGCGTCTTACCTGGGCTAAAGAAAAACAGACCTGGTCTGTTGCTCAGTGGTCCAAAGTCCTCTTTTCTGATGAGAGCCACGTTTGCATCTCATTTGGAAACCAAGGACCCGAGTATGGAAGAAGAATGGAGAGGCACACACTGCAAGATGCTTTGAAGTTCAGTGTGAAGTTTCCACAGTCCGTGTTGATTTGGGGTCATCTGATGTCATCTGCTGGTGTTGGTCCACTGTGCTTCATTAATTCCAGGTCAACGCAGCCGTCTACCAGGAGATTTTGGAGCACTTCATGCTTCCTTCCGCAGACGAGCTTTTATGGGGATGCTGACTTCATTTTCCAGCAGGACTTGGCACCTGCCAAAAGCACCAAAACCTGGTTCAATGACCATGGGATTACTGTGCTTGATTGGCCAGCAAACTCGCCTGACCTGAACCCCATAGAGAATCTATGGGGCATTGCCAAGAAAAAGATGAGAGACATGAGACTGAACAATGCAGAAGAGCTGAAGGCTGCTATTGAAGCATCCTGGTCTTCCATAACACCTCAGCAGTGCCACTGGCTGATAGCTTCCATGGCAGGCCGCATTGAGGCAGTAATTGCTGCAAAAGGGGCCCAAACCAAGTACTGAGTACATATGCATGCTTATACTTTTCAGAGGTCCGATATATTGTTCTATGTACAATCCTTGTTTTATTGATTGCATGTAATATTCTAATTTTCTGAGATTGTGGATTTGGGGTTTTCATGAGCTGTAAGCCATAATCATCACAATGATGACAAATCACGGCTTGAACTATCTTGCTTTGCATGTAATGAGTCTATCTCATATATTAATTTCACCTTTTAAGTTGCATTACTGAAATAAATGAACTTTTGCACCATATTCTAATTTTTCGAGTTTCACCTGTACACTCACCAGCCACTTTATTAGGTACACCTTGCTAGTGCCAAGAAAATATCCCCCACACCATTACACCACCAGCACCACTCTATGTACTCCTAATGAAGTTACGTGTTGTGACGTAACACGTAGGGTGGGCCAATGACGTCAAGCCGCAAACCAGAAAGTCTACGTGCCGCCATTTTGCAAGTGGGATAACAGAAACCAAATATGCTGGAGATCACTGTGTCAGTGAGTTTTACACTGCGGTGTCCCAGGAGGACACATTTTAATGTGAGTGCATTCTTTTAAAATAAAGGCTGTTTTTTTTAACATACTACACTACCCACATGGAAGAATAATATATTTGAAATATATTTTTAAAATATTCTTCCCAAATATATTGACATATATTTGAAATACTACAATTTTGGCCATATTCTATATATTTCAAAATATATTTATATATATATATATATATATATATATATTATATATATATATATTGTATGTTGAAATGCGTTTTTATTACAAAATATATGAAAAATATTTTTTAAAAATACATTTTCAAATATACTGTATGTCTTTAAAAATACAAATCTACATTTTTGGTATGCATTTACAAATATATGTAAAAATATATGTTAAAATTATTTTTTTATATGTTAACAAAAAATCTGAAGAATATATTTAACAAAATATATTTCTAAAACCATACAGTATATTTGAAATGTATTTTTTTCAAATTTTTTTCCATATATTTTGTAATAAAATCACATTTCAACAAACAGTATATATATATTTATTGAAATATATTTTGAAATATATTGAATATGGCCAAAATTGTAGTATTTCAAATATATGCCAATATATTTGGGAAGAATATTTTTAAAATATATTTAAAAATATATTTTTCTTCCATATGGGTATATTCAGCTTTTTGTTTGCCAGGATGCAGTATGTTAAGATGGCAAGCCAGTTGAAGAAGTGTGATGCTTTGGGCAATGTTCTGCTGGGAAACCTTGGGTTCTTCCATTCATGTGGATGTTACTTGACATGTACCACCTACCTAAACAATGTTGCTGACCAAGTACACTCCTGCATGAAAAAAAAGATATTTCCTGATGGCAGTGGCTTCTCAGCAATATATTACACCCTGCCACACTGCAAAAATGGTTCAAGAATGGTTTGAGGAACATAACAATAAATTTGGGATGTTGACTTGGCCTCCAAATTCTCCAGACCTCAATCCAATCGAGCATCTATGGGATGTGCTGGAAAAACGAGCACACAATCTATGGAAGCCCCACCTCACAACCTACAGGGCTTAAAGAATCTGCTACTGATGGCTTGGTGCCAGATACCACAGCATACTTTCAGAGGTCTAGTGGAGTCCATGTCATGATGGGTCAGGGCTGTGCTGGCGGCAAAAGGGGAGCCTACTCAATATTAGGAGAATCTTCATAAATGATGGCTAATCGATGTATACAAAATGGCTGTACCAGCACTTAACCTCTTCCCTACCATGCTATAGCCAAAAGACGGGTACAGCGCGGTTGCCTAGTTCTGGGACGATGTCCATGGACGTTACTCCAGACACCCCCCCCCCCCCCGTGGCGCACACCTGATCAGCGGACACAGCTGATCATGTGGTACGGTAAACGGCCAGTCACACAACGGCCTTTTATCACGTGATCAGCTGTGTCCAATGACACAGCAGATCACCGGGTAAATAGAGTTGCCGGTTATCGGCTGCACTTTCCTCACGCTGTCACAGCATGAGGAAAGTACTGCCAATAGCCGGTGAAAATTGTCAGAGAAGTGATTGGCATTAATCATCAGGGCACTGATGATCAGTGCCCAGCAGTGCTGCCCACTTGTGCCACCCACCTGTGCCCACCAATGCTGTCCACCTATACCCATCAGTGCCACCCACCTGTGCCCATCAGTGCTACCCACCTGTGCCCTGCAGTGCCACCCACCTGTGCTCATCAGTGCCACCCGCCTGTGCCCAGCAGTGCCGCCCATCGGTGCCACCCAGTTGATGCCCATCAGTGATGCCCATCAGTGCCCAGCAGTGCCGCACATCAGTGCTGCCCATAAATGCACCTATCAGTGCAGCATCATCAGTGCCAACTCATCAGTGCCACCTATCAATGCCACCTATCAGTGCCTCCTATCAGTGCCCATCAGTGCTGCCTATCCGTGCCACCTCATCAGTGCCCATTTGCTCATTTTTTTTTTATAGCGCAAAAAATAAAACACTCAGTGGTGATTAAATCCCACCAAAAGAAAGCTCTATTTGTGTGAAAAAGTGATAAAAATGTCATATGGGTACAATGTTGCATGACCGCACAATTGTCATTGAAAGTGCAACAGCACTGAAAGCTGAACATTGGCCTGGGCAGGAAGGGGATATAAGTGCCCAGTAGGCAAGTGGTTAATCCAATTTAATGCCTCAGTACTCCACACACATATAGCAATGTAATAGTTAAAATGGTAGGTACTTATAGGTCTTCCAAAAAGTACAGGAGTAATTGTTAGGTTGTTTTATTAAACCAAAGTTTTGGCAGATCACAGCCACATAGCTCTACATTAAAAAGAAACCACAAAAATCAAACTTGTGATTCATATCCAAATATGTGTAGATTTTAAAAATTGTGTCATTCGCTCAGTACATTGCATTCAGTTTATCATGTGTGTGGGTCAGGTATTATAAAGCCCAATAAAGAACTGAAAGACCTGTGACTGTGATATTTGCATGTCTGATGTTTTACATAGAGAATCCCTGAAGTGAGTTCCCTAGAGGTTTTATGCGATATAAAGAGCTGGAGACCATTGATCTGTGTATGTGACAGTTCAGAGACATCAAGATGATTCTGGTGACATATCTGCTCTGTGTCTTTTTCCTTTATATACAAGGTACAGTATTGTATTACACCTGTTCATTTACTTTTACAAATGATATATATTATTTAGGCATGAGAACTCAAGGTGGCAATAGTACCCAGATTGAAAAGCATTAAATCAGCTTTAGCAGGCCAGTAACATTTAGTGAATGTTTTACTTTAGACAAGGTGGGTTACAATCAGGGGGCGGCTGACCATTTGGAAACTTGGGCACTGCTCGAGAGCTCTGGGGGTCAGTAGGGGGCCCCATGAGATGCCCCCTGGTACCATTTTCATAGGCTTTTTTGAGTTTGGGCAAGGACACAGGGGCCCCATGATCCCCTATTGTCTGCGGGCCCCATGAGTTCAGTCAGTCACAATGGTGTTTGCCTAATGTATTTTCCTGCTAAATATAGATAAATAGAAGCGTATAAACTCCTCCACCTGGCACATACAGAAAGTGTCAATAAGTGGAGTCAGCGATCATTAATGACTATATCACCGGAACACCTGTTTTTGAAAACAAATATAATAATAAAGCTTTATTTTAATTTACTTGTGACTATTGATCCCTTTTTATTTTTATGTTGAACATTTAGATTCATTCAGACTAGGAATGTTAATTGCCCCCCATTGTGTTTCTTCAGATTCTTGTGGTCAGATTATGATGACTCAGTCTCCGGAATCCATTGTGAAATCCCCGGGAGACACAATTACCATCCCATGTACGTCCAGTGAAGATCTTTACCACACTAATGCTAAATATATTACTTTAAGCTGGTACCAACAAAAGCAGGGAAAACCTATAAGTCTTCTTGTCCAGAAAGCAACAGAAAGATATACTGGGGTCCCAGAGAGGTTTGTTGGATCGGGATCTGGAACAAATTATCATCTAACAATCAATGGAGCGAAAGAGGAAGATGAGGGATCTTATTACTGTATGCAACACCGAAAGTGGCCACTCACACAGTGATACACATCTGTACAAAAAACCATCTTCCTCTCTTACTTGATATATAGAGTGTCTGAGCTGAAAACAAAAACCAGAAAGTGATGCAAATCTTATATGAGTGTATACTTGTGAGCTACTATGGTGGCACAGAGATATTTATAAAAAATTAATAAACTCCTACAAGTGAATGTTTACTTAGAAATATGTGATATTATATAAAATAAATGAATTAAATAAATATTACATAAATATTAATACATTGTGATATAATATATATTAAAAGCTCCCAGTGCTGTAATTAATTGAATTGAAAAAAAAATTTATATTGTGCATAAAATTAATTTGTATAACATAAAAAATGTGCAAAGAAGCCCTCCTTGCACCGTGATGTATATGTGTGCAAAAATAAATATGTGCAACTGTGCAAATATTGCCCCAAAACACTAATGTAAGATAAATTTATATATAATGGAGTGTAATAATCAAATTAATATATAAAAAAAAAATAACAATAAACATAAACAGTAAATAATGATGGAAAACTTATCCTTATTTTTATTTTCATAATCATTGTTATTTATTATTTTTATTTTTTAATTTTTCATTTTTATTGTATTTTAATATATATTCACATTTATATTATAATTTTAATCTTTTCTCTCCATGTAACAAATAAAATAAGTTTCTTCTTGTATTAATATAATTATTAGTACAATTTTTTAATAATTTTATATAAATTAAAAAGTATTGATTAAAAGTTTTTTCACAAATGCTGTAGCACAACAAGTATCACAATAACTAATATGTTTAAGTAAAGGTTTTGTCCCAAAACTCATTGCATTTGATGGTGTCCAGCCCAATCACAGTATTTGTGGCATTAAGTCAGAGTAAAAGGGTGTTCATTAAGTAATTTTGTCAATACAACCAGAGTAATGTGTCCCATGTGTGCACACATTACATGCATAGAAGTAATCATCTGGCCCCATAGACCCTGTGGCGCAACGCGTAGGGGGAGGGGCTCTGACATCACGACGCCAATAGCAGCGGAACGGCGAGTTACTGTCTTTGTGTGAGGGCAAACATCTGTACAAAAACGCTCTGTATTTATCTTGTGGAATGTGAGTTCGCATTTGTCTGGAAACGCATTAAACCCCTTTATAAAGGATAAAACACCATGTGCGATATTTTTTTTCTTCTATGGCCATAAAACCGGGAGGAAGAATACAGGGGAGGAAGAGTGGTAATAGGAAACTAGACCCCGGACAAACATGAGGGGGATTTATCTATATCCATCCATCCAGCCTCATAATCCAGAAGGAATTGGGAGGCCATACTAGAGGAAGGAAAAGTAGACCCCACAGGACTACTTCAATAATAATATACTTTCCATATATTTGCACAAAATTTAATTGGGACTATCATATGTCATTTAAAGCCAAAGGACAAGT